AATTCCATTTGACTTATGTAAATTAACGTTTTGTTTTTTTATAATTAAACACTGGGTTGCCTTAATGTTATAGCTATAATTTTTTTATAATAAACACTCAATTGACTACGATGGGTTCATTCATTCCAATGTTTTCGGCCATATTGTTTTCATGTGATGTGCGATCGCTTTGTTTATGTTTTCGTTTAAATTATAAGGAATTAGTTTTAAACATAAAGTTGCATAAATATGTGTAGAAGTAGTTAAATGTATGTGTAGGTTTTTCAAATAGTGTATTTGTTTATCAGTGTCTAGTACAAGTACCTATATTATTCGATTGTGAAGTTTGTGTTGATAATAGATAATTTTTTGTGTTTGTTGAAAGTTAAAAACAGTAAGTTTTCGCAAAAATGTGTCCTACAACGACTAGATTCAGGTAATGACCATAGGCAGTACTCAAGTTACGAGAATTGACCCAAGTCAAAGGTAGGTAATGTAAATATTATGTACTTTAATGGATCTTTTATTGATTTTCTTGTTTGATAATTCTTAAAAATATCAACTTAGACTTCGGGTTGTACTGATTTACATATTAATTTATTATTAATAATTATGTAATGTAATAACAAATGTACCGCTTATAAATACTCGGCTCGGCCACAGCCGGCCGCGCTTGTTATTGTTTTGTTTGTTGGTAGGTACCTACGTTCTTAAATTCGTAATATAATATAATATAATATTATTATGATTTTGAATAGATTATCTAGCAATTCGATAATTGAATTTGGTTCATCAAATTTATGCTTCATTATTAGTATAATTAATAGATGTTCAATTATTTGTAAGTTTTGTTGGCTTATTCCATAGCTGATGAAGTAGTTCACAAAAAATACGCGAGATGTCAGTGTATGTAATTTGGCGACAGAATAAACCACAATATTCTTGAACGCACTTTTCAAAATGTATTCTGTACATGTACCTGTCTTGTGTGAGTATGATTGTCATTGTATGACCGGCGGGGGGGGGGGGGGAGGGGTTTAATCATACGATATTTAATTGCCTACCCTGTCTCGAAAACCTGTGCACGCCACTGCCTACTAGAGGCCCAATTACCCTCCTCCTCAATATCCCCAATCCCTGAATTCCCAACAATCCTCATATTCTACTCCCAAAAGACCGGTAAAGCACGTGTTACGCCTGTGGTGTTCCGCGTGTTCATGGGCGACGCCGATTGCTCACCATCAGATGATCCGTCTGCTCGTTTACCGGCTCATATTTTGTAAAGTTTATGGGACGAAAAAGGTTACGAAATCTTAAATAAAGTCTAATATCTTAGACGCTCGTCCAAAACAAGGCCAAAGCTATAATGTAGTAAATAATAATATTGTCTAAAACCTGTTTATTTACTTGAAAATTATTTCCAAGCCATTCCAGGTCTGTTTGACGTCATTGATATGAAAAAACGAAATAAAAGATCTTCATACACACCTACTAACAGTAACATCCTGTATTTTAATCGTTTAAAAAAAAGATCAAATTCTTTTATTGACGTGTAATTTATTCAAATGTTTACATGTGTACGCATGTGGAACTTATTTAAATAGTATTTTTTTTTTAATTTGTACACCATTTTTTCTGTTATAAATATTTTTCCTAATTATTCATAGATTAAATCTTTACTAATAATTATTCACCATCCAAACAGTGGAAAGCCTATATTTTTCAATTTACCTTCTCCCACGTAGAGGTAACCCATCATAGTCACGGTCTGAACAAAATGATGAAATAAAAATTAATTATTATTTTGTGACAACCGCGTCCGCAGCCGGAGGTTTAAGACTCTCTTCTCAAGCATAGGAGTGAGAGTCCGAACCCTACCAACGGCAAGTACCAATGTGACTTTTTCCGAGTTATTTATGTACATACTTTCAAAGATTATCCAGACACCACTGACAAACGGTGAAGGATTACATCGTGAGGAAACCTGGGCTTATAATTTCTAATTATAAGTTTGAAAATCCATTGAGCAAGCGTGGTGATTAATGCTCGAACCTTCTCCGTACGAGGAGTGGCCTTTGGTCAGCAGTGGCCACTTTGTTAATGACGATGACAACCGTAAATGATTTTCAATACCTCCTCGTCCAACTGGTATCTTAATATGATTTTACACTCGTTAATTGATACCACAATTAGTTCCAGATGTTCATTCAATTAAATCACTCCGTTGGAATTTCTATTCATTAATAAATATTTAATATAAAACTGTCACTGATTTTCTAATTAAATTGATTGCTTACATTGGTTCAATGTTCAATTCCGTACAAAAAATGGTCGTCTTTATTACGGGGTATCAGATTTATCACTTGCTACTTCGGTTGTGCAAAAAATGAACTTAAGCTTCTTGATTGTGATAAGTGATTGAGATACATGTGACATGTGAAGTTTACAAGGTAGATACTTAGCAACTATGAAAGACCACTACTTTCTGCTATAGTAGGTATGTATGTACAAACCAAAGATTGAAGAAAATAAATATACCTATAAGATATTTTTCATTAGGTCTACACCATAGATATAATAAAGAATATATCTGTGGTCTACATACTAATTTAATGCACGAGTAATGCGAACTGCCTAATGTAATATGCAAAGGTATATGGCAAGCTAATTTCGTAAACTGGGAAATTACTAATTAATATTACTGTACTCGTATTATATCGCAAGTAAAAGCAAGTCAAGTAAATAACTGAATAAATAAGCAAGCAGGAAGTAAGCCAAGTTATCCAAGTGCTAGGGAGATCGCGGCCGCTTTCCACGCCCGGTAACACTACCACCGTAGCGGGTGTCAACTTACAGCACATGAAGCTATACTAATTACATATTCTACTTTATTCGTTTTATAATAAAGTTGATAATTCATTGAAGGTATTTGATAAGTTAGTGTAGGTTGACGTGCTGATGCTGAACGCGTCAATGTTGACAGGGAGCGAACTAATGTTTGGTTGCACATTGTCAGTGCTGTCACTGTAGCAATAGAAGGCCTTTCTGCGGTTAAAACTTTGATTCTATTTGTGATATGTGATACTGAGTATTTTTGGCATGCAATGTATCTGTTTATTAGAGTTTACGGTCAGATTTAAGTAATGATATGATTAGGTCTAAGAGATTTTTAAACCGGTATTGATATGAATTTTAGGTAATTTTCAGTGATTTTAAAATGAGTTTTGTGCGGTTAAAGACATAGGTTTTAGTATAGAAACCACTATACCATGTAGTTATTTAAAATTAAATACCAGAAACGTAAAGAAGAACCAAATAAGAATGACTCTACCTCCACTTCGAATTAATAGGTATCTAATAGAAAAAAGCCTCCGATACAAAATCCATGAATAAAAAAGATCATAATGTACATTTTGTATACATTATTTGTCTTTTTAAATATTCTGTTATTTACTATATTATGTAGGTCGTCAGCATTGCATTCCAAAACAACCAGTTTACTACAGTACATCGTTATTTAAACTAATTCAGAGTAACGTTAAATGTCAACTTGTTTACGTAATCAAAGCTACGCATCATGGCATTTTTTTATCATAAATAGCCTTAAATTCATGGTAGGTATAAAATGTGTTACCATTTTTGAAGATTTTGGAATAGGCAATTTTTACATCTTTCTTGATAAATCGTTGTCTTTCAAATAGCTGTGGAAAAATCGAACGATTTTCCAATAATAGGTGTCATTTCATTATTGCCACATAAGTCTCCACTAAGGAAATTCAATTTGAAAACAGCACGTTTCGTTTTTTTTAATTATGTATATGGTTAAAAAGTTGTGAAGGGAAAGGGCAAAAAAACTACACACTAGACTTTGGTATCAAAATCAAAGAGACCTACCTACCTAACACTAAAGAGAAATCAAATTATTCAACCTAAAATACCATTTCTAAAATAACAACAGCCCTCAAAATTCTAAGAACACATTTTTTCAATTAAAATCCCATTTCGGAGGCAACATTATCATCACAGACGCGCTTGGAGTGTGGACTGTGGAACTATTGCACAACAATTTTGGACGGGTTCCGATGTCTCACGGCCAAACCAAAATGTCTGACTTAAATGGTATGTGGGAACCTACCTACTGAAAAAGCGATGATTTTACACTAAGAATGTTTTTTTGAAATGTCAAAATTGATGACGAATATTGAATGAGATAAAGAGGACGTTTTGAAAAAAATATTTCTGCGTCAAATAGCTTAGGTACTTACTTAGGTAAGTTATTAAATCAGTTAGAAAAATACGAAATGTAAGTAATTCTTAAATCATGAAATCAACGAATGGATAAGATATTATTTTTACCGCAAGAATGTTATGCGTAAAATAAAGACATCCTTATTTCAACACGAGTTTTTTTTATGAAAGCGTGCAACTGAATGCCGATTGTAATTGTATTCATAAAGTATTTTCAGAGAAAATTATGACTGTCTGATTAAAAATCAATGCCATAGGAAAATTCTAGAGAATAAGCAATTGCGTAAATATTTTTCATTACTGAAGGGACATTGCCACGAGAGTGTTTGTTCAAAGTTCATTGTACTTTAAATTAGTGAAAGAATTGCATTGGGAAATATGAAGATGTCTCCTGTTGTTAAATACAAGCTAAGTTAATTAATTAACTAAGCTTATGCAGATAAGATAATGTGAACAACAGATACCTAATGTATATGCAGATATATTTTGTCAGAAGAAAACGGTCATTAGGGTATAGAACTCGTATGCAATATTTAAAAACATCAAAATTAATTTATACAATATAGCTATTTTTACTAAAACCGTGCGCGAAAATGTCGAAATGCCGGCATTATTAACAAATTTTTCGAATAACAATAAAATACGTACGTAACAAGTTACGTATTTCATAATAATTAACAAAAAATGCAGACGTAACAATACTGCACCAAATAAGTAATAATAAAAAACGTACTAACTACTTACGTGAAAAACGGAAACATTTGTCTACTTACCGGTAACAAAACCAAAGAAATCGGATTGTTTCACAATATTTTCTTGCGAAACTATATCAAACAAATGGCATTATATTCACTGATTCCTTATTCAAATTCAAACTACACATAGACGGATAAACCACTTCCTACAAATAAAAAAAAAGATGCACTTTGGACGAGTTTAAAAAAAAATGTTTGACGAACGTGTAGCGCTGTAGAGCCTCTATGACCGACTGTCTTAATTAACTACGGAAAGAGCTTGTGACTTGCCCAATTACTAACATAACTGTTAATGCAATTATGACCTATTTATATCCCTGTTCAATATTGCATTTTAATGACAATTTGTATGACTAAGTGCCTAAGGAGTTTTTACTCTGCACATGCAGATGTAGCGATTATGAACTTTAAGAGCAAAGTAACGAAGTATTACTCGTAGCGTAGCGTATGGAAACCTGTTTTAGGTTTAACATGAATAAATATTGTTTAAAAAAAATATCCAGTTACTGTAAGCAAATATTTTAAACTTTTAATCGAGAATCAACCAGTTAAAGAATTTATACGATAAAAAACCAGTACCTACATGTGTTAGCTCCTAAACCGTAGCTTATAAATGGCGAAGATGATAAACTAAAGTACCTATGATACCGACTTAAAATCACTTTTTTATATTAAGATAAATGTAAAGCTTTTACCAGTGTTCCTTATTTATCTATTTTATTCAAGGTTCAATTGTGCTTTTTGAGGAGGGCAAATCATCCAATGACTTCTCCCGCCTTGGGTTAGGCGTGAGGGAGTGTCAGACTCTAACTGACTAAAAACCACCCCGTTCCCGTTCCTACCACTCTTTTAGCCGGAGCCCCGGCAACCCGTTAGGCATTCCGGGGCTCCGTATCGGAGTTCAATAGGAGTGTGCTTCTGAAATAATCTATAGTCAAAAGAAAAGCTTGAAAAACCAGAAAAAATAAATAAAGTCAATAAAGATCTATTATCTTTACCTACCCTAAGACCCTAATGTGAGACAGGCGTGACGATATTTATTTAGATAAGTATATGTATGTATAGCGTGTATAGTTTCACGTCAGGGTGTCACGCTGTGTGTGAGGTCTGTTACCTACCATTCCGGTCGAATCACCCTTTCTTATATAAATGTACAATCATAATTCAGTCTTCATTTCAATCTTATGTAGTATTCAGGCATAATTAAATGGGCAATCTATTTAATTGCCTCTAAACTCAAAAAATGTCGAAGTCTACGAAAACGTGAAACCGATTTTAATTTATAACTACTAACTCCATCTACCGGACGCACGTTGAAGTAGCACGTTAAAGTAGCGATAACAAGATGAAAATTAAATAAACTTATATTTCGCTTTTGTCTACCTCAAGCTTGATTTAGTAAGGAAATGTGCATTGCTGTTTTATATTGGTAATCTATAATCTTTTATAATCACGGTAAGTATAATATTTAATTTAGATTTTACTGACCTGATGATAAGCGATCAGCGCCACCCGTGGATTCTCTCGCAAGTTCGCAACACCAGAAACATTACAAGTGCGAAGTGCATTGCCGGTATAAGTATTTGGCACGGCTGGTATTTTAAAAACGTATAAAGCAGTACCCTAGTACGTACTTTGTTTTCATAATAACGTTTGTGTATTATTTTCTTGTACACAAATAATAATTAAATATGTAGGTTCGTACTTAGTTACCTGTTCACTCCATCACACTCACTAGTTTTAATTTTCTGCTTCTTGTTATATAAGTGAGAATCTACATAAGTTTTAAGGAAAACGAAGTTACTAACTAAATAAAAATCACTGCGGCACTAACTGAAAATTGTTAATACCTTCATTATCTTACACATAGACGCTTTTTATTACCTAACAATTTAATTTAACAAATAAATAAAAGGGCACTATAACAACATCAATCATTTTGACGTTAACCAAATAGGTATTAATTAAACGCACCTGCTTGTACAAACTTAAGGTTTAATACAAATGTTTTAAGTTTTATCTAATGAACAAAAGTAATTTAATGAATAAAATTATCCTTACTTATTCAACACAAATTACCTTTAACTTAACTTACCTACGGCTACCTATAAAAATAAAATATGTAATGAATTGTTCGAATTTATTGCAAAACATGGCAAATACATTTAAAATCGTTTAAAATTTGGCGCTATTTTAATGGCCAGTCCATCACCTTACCATACAAGTAATAATAACCTCTCACATAGTTTATTCCATTGCCTCATTGAATATAATTTTAATTCATTTATTTCACACTGGTTCTATGATTCAAAAATAATCCATTACAAACTTCATTCCAAAATAAGTTTTTAAACAGTGTGTCGTTAGCAGCGCTGTCTGTCTATAGCTTGTCAAAGTTTTCAGTCGTTTTTCGTCGTTCACTTGTTTTTAAATGTGGAAACCTATAATTTTGGACGTCGAGTGTATCGTTTGCAACAAATCGTTGCAAAAGATCAACCACGTTCCTCGGGACGCATCGCAAAAAATGGGCAAGATAGCTAAGTTAAATAATAACGGTCGACTAAGAACCCCTAACTGGTCGCTTGAGGAAAAACAATACCTACTCGAGTTAATTAAGCAACGCAAGGAAGTGGTCGTAACAAAAACCAACAATGGTCCAAATCACTACGAAGAAAAGGACATCGCTTGGAATGAAATACTACGTGAGTTAGCCGCAAAATTTGGCTGTAAGTTTACTGGTAGTTCTATAAAAAAAGTGAAGACTCAGTGGCAGAATATGAAGAGAATAGCTCGCGAAGACGTAGCATTAAATGGCCCTCAACTGCAGAATTACTCCCGGTTGTCACTGGAGGTTTGCAATATCTTAGAATTATTGAAAGATGGTGTTTTCAAAGGAGAACATGAAAATCTGAATGAGTCGTCTTCATCAATTACTGCTAACATTGAGATAAAAACAGAATGTGTTGATGAGTAAGTCACTTACCTATCTAATTGCTTGCAGTTAGTGTATATAGTATTTCTGTTTCATAAAATTTTCAGAAAACAATAGTTTAATGACAGTTGGTCAAGTAAGCATTAGTTAGATAATATTAAAAATTACTTTAAAAATAACAATTACACAATGCATTTTGACAAAAATGTAGAATCTGAACCAAACCATAGATTTTTTTCTTGTGTTTTTTTCAAATCACATTAGGAACAGGCAAGGGGTAGGCCTACACTTCTTACTCAGTGTGGCCAATATAACATTAACAATTTCTATTTTTAGGGATCTTAGTCAACCAAGTTGCAGTGGCTTGAATACTACTTCAGCTTCTATGGATACCGATATGCCTCTAGATAAAACCAATTGTACCCAGTTGGAGTCTTCTGCATCATCAGTCTCTGAACAGATATCAGAATCAAATGATTTTGATACTCTGGAAGATAATGCTGCAAACAAAAGTGTTACAAGAACCATCTCAACAACAACTATGACTGATCCTATGCCTTTTAATCATATGGAAGAAGCTTTAAAGCTGACTAATCCCTTTCATAGGGAGCTACAAGAATACTTTCAGTAAGTGTAGTTACCTTTTTTTAGTACCTATCCATAGATTTTAAAATACCCGTTTAATTAGTAATTTAATGTTATTATTTAATTCAGGTATACTACAGCAGAAAAACAGATGAAGATGGAAACATTAAAAGAAGAGCGTCAGGTAGTAAGAGCTATGAGAGAGACTGCTGAACTGAATAAAATTATTGCTGAACAAAAACTGAAACATGTTTTATGGGCAAAAAAGCAAGATATGACGTAAGTTTCCTATGTTAAACCTATTATGTTTCACTTTGTATAGAATAATAAATTAGATATAACATAACTTTAAATTAGGTACCATTTTAGCAATCATACATCTAATCATTAGGCTATTTTAAATCTGCCGCTTTTTTCTTTGGCCTATTTAGTCTATGGTCTTAATGTCAGAATGTTGTAACTTGTAAAAATTACACAAGTTATTTGGAGAATCTAGTAAAGAGGGCTTAGAAACCTGTGTTCTATCTAAACGTTATTCACATACTAAAAGAAAAAGAAGAAAGAAAGATGGAACAAAAATTTTTTGCCTTAGTATTTACCTCAAAATCCAATGTGTCAATCTTGGTCTTAGTTCACATATTTTATTATTTTAGGTATTCTATTTTCGGTCGAGTTCAATGTAACACAACAATATCGATTAAATAACAGTTCCAGGAAAACATAGGCTTTTAAATGATTTTGTTAATTATTGCATTGTTAAAAAATGTGCATTTTAAGACCTAAATGGCGTCAATGGTGAAGTCATTTATTTCTGTTTAACCTGCCGATGTAACCTAAAATTGAAGTTCTATTATTTAAATACCGTAACTTTTATTATTTTGCCTAAATGCTTCGATATTAATCAATACCTAGTGTTTGTTATTGAAAACTTCGTAGTTTCAAGACCTGGCTGGCTGCTTCGTTGTTCATGTCAAACTATGACAATGTCACTTGATAACAATAATTCGTGAATTTTCAATGAAACGGTTTATATAACATGTCTTGAATAACTCGATTACCATTTAACGTAAAATTCATAATCACAGCTGGCAATTGGCCAGCGACGGGATGATTGATATACCTATGACGGTTAGTACTTAGTAGCACCTCTTAGTTTTTTGTACTCAATAATTTACTTTTCTCAAATTTTTAGAAATGTTTACATTACTAATTACCATTATTAATGCGATTCCACAGACATGACATGTGGGCTTTTAACGTATTCCAATGAAAAAAATTGCTATTATTAGACTCTAAAATGTTACCTAAAACGAGCTTCAGTGGGATGTAAAATATTACCAAGTGGAATTCCCTTGTTCTATTTATTATCATTTTTGTTACTTACTATCATTGGTAAATAGAATTTAGTTTTTGTTGATTATTGCAACTACCTATTCGTAATTAAATCGTTGTTATTTTTGTAAATCCAAACAAATTGTCGTATTTATTTTTGTTTTTTGTCTGCCTGTCTTTTTAATATATTATTACGTTTGCTTGAGCGAATTCAACTATTTGTGCAAGGTAACTCAAAAAATAATTTATTTTTATTTCGTGGCAAAATTTCCTAAAAGACCTTATTTCATCGAATGGAAAAAACAAGATTATCTTTGGTTTGAAGGAATTCTGTCAAATTCTACTTGTCGAAGTCTCTCAAAAGTTCAAGATTCTTAAAAAAGTACTTATTTAGAATATTTTTTAATTCCATTTAAAATCAAAATCATGAGTTTAATTCCGAGGGTAACGACAAATCTGTCGCGAGCTATTTTGAGCGTAAGGTGAGAAAACTTTACCGGGCATGTCACGTTACGCAACCGGAGGCCTTAGTACGAGTTTGTTTTACGTTTAAAGTAATCGTAACGAGTTCGCGTTCGGCGCTCCGATTGGTTGCTTTATTGGCGCCGGCCAATCAGAGTGCCGAACGCGAACTCGTTACGAATACTTTAAACGTAAATGAAACTCATACTAAGGCCTCTGCTTGCAGATACCATTTTAATTTGCAATAGAATAAAAATATTGATGATCACTAAATGATACATCCCTATTTTTCGCACCATCTATCATGTATCTAAATTCTAAATCGATGACCATGTCTTCAGACTTGATTTGAATCATTCTATTTTTTCTTCTATTTATAGTCAGTCAGTGTCATACATAAAGTTGCCCTTTATACCGCTGACAGACTATAAAAACAGTCAGTCTTATTCTACGCAGTGTTTAGTGTTTACAATAATACAGGGCATAGGTGATTGATTTTAAAGCCAATTGATTATCACAAGTCACTTTCCAATAAGTTCTTATAAGATATTCTCTATTTAATCTTAAGGTAAGGTACCTTAAATATAACTTATCACACCCTCTCTGTCATTGTACTAACAAGGTTAATAACACTTTATTGTCATCGAGATTTCTTATCTAAATAGTGCAATCATAATATTTGTTGTTAATAACCATGTTTTCATCAAGTATTTCAATTGTGTAAACTCTACAGCATGTAATCACTTAATTTAAATTAGTGTACAGGTGTAATTTATACAAAGATTTTGTTTTATCTCTTATATGCAACTGTTAGCTTGAAGCTACTGGCTGACCTTAAAAACTGTCATAGACATTTTTGGACGTTTCTATTTTTTTTTAAATATTTTTTCTTAGTCTTGTACTCTATTACACATCATCAAAGTGTATTTAAACTTTTTCTAGTTAGTTCAATAAGAACTATAAAGATCTGATAATACATTGAAAGGGATGATGACTTTCATTTTCAGATTGCACTATACTTTCATCATGCATTACATTGCCTGTGTTGTATGTGTCAGAGTTAAAAATAGGCTGTATGAATTCAGATTGTAAACAGATCAGATAGTTTTTAAATACTTTTGTTTATGTTAAGTTTTTAAATACTTTTTTTTATTTTAGTGAATTGACATAGTAAGAATTGATGAAATATTACAATTAGACTAAAAAGGTGCTTTTAAAATCTCACATAAAAAAAAAATATTTGCCCTGTGTCATTTAGGCCACTACTAAAGCTGTTTGCTTATTTTGAAATGTGCATTCTTTTATAAGACAATCAAATAATTTGAAATGAGAGGTTGTGGTCCAAAAATAATGTACAAAACTTGGATGTACTTTCTTCCAATTCTTGACTGCTATGCATGTGCCTTGTTTACTTTTGGAGTTAATCTATCTCTGGTTGATAAGTGATAATGCAATGCAATGTCGTTTCAAGTGTCAGGCATCTACATCTCACTCAAAATGAGATATATTATAATTAGGTATGTAATAAAAAGTCTTATAATCAAACTGTTGATTTCAGAATGTACAGCGGTGAGCCTGGTTCGGGTGCCGGCAAGGGTGGCGGTGGTGGTGGTGCCATCCGTGAAGCTGGTGGCGCTTTTGGTAAGATGGAAGCAGCCAGAGAAGACGAATACTTCTACAAAAAGGTAATCAAGTTCTTAAAAGTCAGTGAAAGGTGCATTGTGACTTGGCAAAGTGCAGTATAGTTTTTTTCTGATTGGTACACTAAGGGCCGATTAAAATGTATCCGGTGTTGGAACATTTGACAATTCTTCAATACTAAAATCTGTCAAATGTCAATTTTATTCTAGAGTTAAGAATTAACTGATGATTAAAATTGCGGCCCTAAGTGCTATATCAAACTGCGTGCATGGTGGCAAACGGGCTAGCCTACGATCACATGGGGCTGGTAACTTGTGAAATGTTGGTGTTATGGGCCTAAAATATATCAATATCCATTTATGGATAATACAGCAGTAGCCTAACAGTCAATATACATTAAGAGCCGATTTTTCCATACATGCATACATAACATCACGCCTTTTATCCCCGAAAGGGTAGGCAGAGGTGCACATTACAGCACTTAATGCCACTGTAATGTAACAGCCACTTTTCACTACTTATGTTATGATTCCCATAGGGGGTGAGCCTATTGCCATATACCGGGCACAGGGCACAGTTACAGACTCCTTGCTACCACTGAGAAAAACCCAGTAATACTTTGCCCGACCCCGGAAACGAACCCGAGACCCCTTGTCCGGCAGTCGCACTTGCGACTACTCGGCCAATGAGGCAGTCATTAATTTTTCCAATGCCAGATAAATTTTAACTGAGGAATAGTTTTGAATATTTAACAATTCTTCCATACTAAAATCTGTGAAATGTCAATTTTATTCTACAGTTAAAAATTAACTGACAATAGAATAATCGGGCCTATGAATTCATTCATCCCACATAGAACGGAAATCAATTATTTAGGCCACTTGGCCATCGAACTTGGAGTTATGTGACACAGGCATTGGCAGTGTTGTTACATCCAAAACATTCCTGCTGTAAATACTATGCCAAGAAAACTATACTCTCTATACCTATGAAGATACTCTTTTGACATGCTCTAGATCTCAATAAGAGTTTGACCAGTATGACAGGATATTTTTTTAATTTCGTTCCTCAATAATAGTCAATTTGTACTTAATAACTACATACAGCATTGTCCTTGTTGTGTACTGAAACTTGGTAGATAGATACTACAAAATTAGACATTAATTGTAACTTTGATTTTGCCACTAACTTATTCGTTATCATACATATAGCCGAAGTCCAAAGCTGAATGTCAGCAATGAGCCCTTGTCATTTTAAGTATATAATGCAATAATTATTTATAGTGTAAATTAAATAAGCTAGCCAGAAACACACACATATATTTTTCAAAACAAAAGAACATAAATATGAAAGTGGCCAACTTACCACAGATAATATAAACATAACAGCCCTAAAGGACGGAAAAGAATACCCAATAATACTTCGACCTATTTTGCCCAGATTATTAGTAGTTCTTATGAGAACATGAACATTAATTTTCTTCTAATTTTATTTTCAGCAAAAAGAGCAGCTTGCTAACTTGAAGACTCACTTGGACAAGGAGATCTCCTTCCACGAGGACCAGATCAAGCGCCACGAAGACGCCATCCGTAGACACAAAGAAAAAATGGCTGACATAGATCACAAGAACGCATAAACAGTGTCACATCCATTCAGGATCAGTCGGAAACATTTTGTCTTGAGTTTTACTCAATTATGTTTTAAGAATGTCAACATTTTGCTTTTATTTTGTTTAGTTATAGAAGGTAAAACCGCAATTACATAATGATGGCATTATTATATTGTGTTGTTTCATTTCTCTGGATATATTGAGTCCTTTTTTATTACATAATATGTATAGTCATATTGGTTCGTTTCTATGCTCGTTATCATGATCATATCAACCACAAGACATTTAAGATTAACAGTATAACTTTAATGGCGTAAGCGGTAGTGTTATATATGTTCCTGCGCCCTTTGCTGGTCGTCTGTCGCATCTTGTGGTGCGGTGGACGTCTGCCCGCACTTGGATTTTTTTTTATACCACGACGATGGCAAAAAATCACACGGCCCACCTGATGGTAAGCGGTTACCGTGGCCTATGTACGCCTGCAACACTTGAGGCATTTCATGCGTCTTGCCGACCCTTAGCATGGTGCACTGCACTTGCAGTTGGTTTACCAAGCTACACCCACTGCCACTTCAGGTTACTAATCCGCTGGACAATAGGTACGGGTAGGAGGATCTGCTGGTCCTGAACTTGTCAATTTATTTTTTTAATTATACATATTGTTGCTCTTGTAATAAAAGATCATCGTCGGGTTTCATTTTTCGTCTCCGCGCCATCTATGATGTATTGGTGGAACTTTGTAAATCATTCTCAAATACCCAGTTCAAACATTTGTAAATAATCACAAGTGAAATATACAATGTAAGGCTTAATAATAAATACTTACAGTTTTACTGTTTTTATTTGTCTTACATATTCTCAAGTATTCCATGCCCTTATATTGTTGTGTGTACGATTACGATAAAACATGGAGGTTGTTCTAAGTTGTGGACAGATGGCGCTACCGACATACAAGACCTATAGGTATTAACTACAACATACTTGTGGGTTTCTCGATATTTGTGAACTTTCAGACTACAGACAGCGCGCTACTGAAACTTATAATAGCACTTTCTCTTTATTTTGTTAAGTACCTACATAAGATTTCAGATTTCCTAATAGAGCTCTTTCACTTTATTTTGTCTTTTTAGGATAGGTAGAAATGCAGTAAGATATTACGTATATCCTTTTCTTGGCAAGGAATAAATTGTTTTGGACGCATTTAGATAGCTATCGTACGACTTGTTTGTTTTGACGTGTCTTCAATGTTACACACAGACGGTCGTCGCCCTAGCAAATAATATTTCTGTCTTGCCCATGACCAAAATTAGAACGAGTTTCTTGTAGGACTGCGTCAGAGATCGTAGGAACTGTAGTAATACATTGTGTTGTTCTTATGGAAGGAGAATTAGAGGCCTGTTTTTGTAAAGCGACGACTAGGCTATTATTCTTCGACGTAATAAATAGGAGTGCGTGACGCGAAATATAGCTCCATCGACCATCGGGCGACGACCGAACTCGGCTCACGTGAGCGAAGTTAGCTACGAAGGCGCCGCGTGCGGGGCGCGCGCCCTCAACGCAGTGAACCGAGTTCCAAGCGCCACTCAGTTTACTACAATCGCAAACCGACGCCGCATGTCGTTTCGCGCGCCGTTTCGACCCGTGTGTATGGTGTTAGTGAAATAACATAACAGCAAATTGTTTTGTTCTGTGTTATTATTGTGTGATAGTGTCATACTGCTGGTGCGACCGTTCCGGTTCTCTTTGTTGTGATGCATTTGAGGATATACCTATGGCTGTCTTGTGTAGTCCTCGCAGGATACGTTCGAGCGACAGAGGTAAGGGGGACCGTCTAAACCGTCTTAAATGCGGCATTCGCCCGGCTTTTTGTTGTGTGAACACAGAAAACGTGAGTCTGGTCTTGTAAACGAAACGTCGACTTTATTTTATACCAAAGTTGCATCGACTTGCGTAACTGTTTTCAATGTCAACACTAGTCTACAGAGTTTCAATAAGAGAATTAACTCGTGAGTCTGTTAGTTGAATTAACGTGTAAACGTTAACGTGCGTCTGAGTTACATAGGTTGGTTACCTTGAATGTGCGGTAATCACAGGTAAACAATCGTTATCGCGTTCGTTCCCATCGATTTGTGTCGCGTTATTTTTGTTTCCGTATCAGTGAGTATTGAGTATCGTCCGATAGTGTCGCGCCGTGGTGTAAACACGAACGGATCATGAATGGGAGCGCGATGTCGCCCACGTTTTGGGAGAAAGCTGAGACACCGCACACCTACATAACCGTCGGAGCCGGCGTACGGGCATAGATTGCCCGTTGCCGTGAACCCATTACCTTGTGTTATTTATTAGTAACATCTTACTAACGAATTCAATTGCTTCTCTAGCAAAGAAAGCGTGTACTGGATCGTGTTTCTGTCTGACTCATTCAAGTTGGAAATGGGTAGCAAATAGGAGAACAACTTGTCTGCATCACTGTTCCACCTCCTTATTAGACATGCTTGCTTACCTTTGTAATGGAGTTATTAAGTATTTATACCTGATTCATAGTTTAAAATCACCGATTCCATCCTAATTATTAAAGATTTATTAACCGCGTATCAATTGCTGTGACGTGATCCAGGTTGACCCGAAGTACCTACCCACAAAGACCTCGGTAAGGTACCATAGGCAGCACGTTTAATACACATACCTACTCAGCAATAAGGACTGTTTTCGCTTGATTAGTTACCTACAAACTTACTGCAGTTTGACCTTACCTAGATGTAACATTACTCTTCAGGAACTTCTGTCAAAGGTTAAGCTACTATTGCATTCCTTGCGTAAAATGAGTCTTATGATATGGTGTATGTATAATTGTATACCTATATTTTATAATAATATCTATAACTAAGTAGGTAGGTACCTAGTCTTATACTTAAGTCGGTTATGCCTACTTTCCTTTATTAGAATCTAGATCTAGGTTCACTAGGTAACTAAACTGGCCTAGTTAGTCTACAGACTGCAAGAGCGACAGCTGCGTGCACCAATGTCCAGTGTTCGATTCCTAGCTTTACCTACCTACCTAGTATATGCTTGTGTACCTAAATACATGTTTCTTAAATCAATAAGTACCTACCCAAGTAGGCAGGAAAGTGTAAGCCGAAGTTTAAGAACTTCTAATAATAATACTTACATAGGTAATGTCTTATTATTTATTAAATTATTACTAAGGCACTGAGTTTATTAACACTAAGCTTTAGTTTATTGTTAGCTCAATTTACCTTTGTTGTCTATTTTCTATCGCTTATACCACGGGGTATGCTCTGAGGAATTGTTAGACCTGATACCTGACCGCCATCATATATATAGATGGTTGGCAGGCCACAACTGTGCTCTTCTCTCGTAGCTTTCTGCCTCGCACAGCAAAACTGTGGTGGAATGATCTGTCGTCGGCGGTATTTCCGAACCGATACGACCTTCAAACCTTCAAGAAAAGAACGTACCTATTCCTTTTTAAAAGGCCGGCAATGCACCTGTGACTCCTCTGGTATTGCGAGTGTCCATGGGCGACGCTGATCGGTACCACCAGGTGATCCGTCTACTCGTTTGCATTTCATATAAAAGAAAATAATAATGAAACAGCAATAATTTACTCTTCTGTTGGGTATATTTACATTGTTTACCTTCCCTAGATAGCATAGCATCGGCATCATCATTTCAATCATGATAACGCAACAGAATAATAGTGAGCGTTACATTTCTACATCACCTATTCGGTTCCGTCAGCTTCCTAATAAATGGCGTGTTGATATTCAACATCGAAGAAGAATCAGATTCCCTATTCGTGTAAAAGTGTTGCCTTGAGTCTATTTCCAGAAATAAATTAACTTTTTTATATGGGACAAGCCCGCCACAACCTCCCAAAACCGCTGCAACTCCTGTAAGCCAGGATCTACAGTAGATACAACCATGAAAACACCGGAACACTGAAGTCCGGCGCGTCCCAGGGACATGAGTAACTATCTTGGTTCCCGCAACGAAGTTAATCAGAAGATATTATAAAATAAATTCACTTGTTTCGTATACCTATTTGTAGACTAACTATTGTAAGAATAAAATAGGTTATTACCCAGTTAAACAATTCAACAATAAAGTACCTACCTGCCTGTCTACGATTACCAAACTTATCGAGAGCAATCAATAGATCTTAAATTAAATTTCTATTCTAAAATCAATGTCTAGACGAATTTAATTATCTGCCTAGGCATCCCGAATAAAGGACTGGAGACCTTTTAGCTTCAAGTATAAACCTGTGATTGGATTTGAAAAGGTTTGGTCGCCTTGGATTATGTCTACTTACCTACTTGGAATGAAATCAAATATAGATATAGGTTACACACAGCATATCAAGCTATAATATCCAATTTATCTTGGTCTCGCTTTGTATGACATTTCCGTACATTCAACATTCAGTTTATACTGGTTTAGAATAACGATGTGTAATTAGATTGAAAGGTATGTAGGTGGTAATTAACGACTTGATTCCAAGATAACATGGTTCTGGTACTTATTAACCTTTAAGCAGTAGGTTGACGGTGTAGGATGTTAGCCTAATGTGCTTACTATTCGTATTCTGAACATCTTAGCACTTAATTCAACTAGCATAGTTCATAGATTAGGGTGTGAAGTTTGTTCAATGAGGCGATGATGATGAATGCCTAGAATTAGGTAAATCATTACGTAATCGAGTAAATTGTATCTAGGATAAAGCTCTGTAATCTGCCTAAGTGTGCTAAAACTAAGCATTTATTTGACGGCACGGTTGATACGGTGGCTGGACAACCGGCTGCCGCTCAACGTGTCGCGGGTTCTTTTTATGTTGTATGTGAACTTGTATGTTTGTAAACTCACCCACGACATTAGAGAAAATGCTAGTGTGGGGCAACGTTTAAAAAAAACATTTTTTTAACTACCTATACCACGACAGTGGCAAAAAGAGCACACGGTCCATCTGATTGTAAGAGGTTACCATGACATATTATTATGCTTGCAACAATATCTAGGTAGATCTGCTCAGTAGCTTTCGCTTTAAAGACTTCTGAGTGTACTCTTACTGACAATCACTATGGCTGGATACCTACGTCATCTTCACAAACGCGCTTTGGTACCTATACTTAATTTATAGGTATAAGGTAGATATTACAAGGCTTTTGAACCAACTTCAAAAGAGGAGGTTCTCAATTGTAACGTAGTTATCTTTTTGTAAATATGTAATTACCTACTCGGTAAAATTGGTAGGGAGTTGCATAACATAACATCACGCCTTTTATCCTCGGCAGGGGTAGGCAGAGGTGCACATTAAGCCACTGTACAATATAACACCCACTTTTCACTATTTATCTTATGAGTCCCATGTAATAGGGGTGAGCCTCTTGCCATATATCAGGCACAATTTCAGACTCCTTGCTACTACTGAGATTTTTTTTAAAAAACCCAGGTATTATTTAGCCAGACCCGGGAATCGAACCGGAGACCCCTTGCCCGACAGTCGCACTTGCGACCACTCGGCCAACGAGGCAGTCAAGGTCGAGGAGGGAGTTGCATACCCAGTGAATTCTTGCGTCAACGACTTGAAATAATCTGATACCGGAGAAGGCGGTATTTAAATGCAGTCTCCTTTGATGTTGTCGGCTGAGGATACTAAACACCGCGCAATGTGTTCTCAGAGGTAATAATAATAAATATTATATAGGTGGGTTCATATGTAGGCTGTAATAAGTACGTAGTACGCGTAAATATTGAAATTTTAAACCGGCTAACTTGTAATTTTTGTCATTTGTATCTATTAAACCTACCTAAACAATAGTAAGTAGTACCTAATAGTATTCTATTGAAAACAATAGGGATTAGTTAAATTCTCAAAAAAATTCATGCCTCACAGCAAGCAGGAACTGAGGAGATATCATCGAGATCGAGTCCTAGACCTAATCTACAAAAAAGTGATGACAAATTTTATCCCACTTCATTATCTGATTACCGATATTACTTTTGTCTCGACACGAATAAACAACACAATATGTAAATATTGAAGTCACATATTTCAGTCCATACACTGTAATTATCATTTTTAAAGATTATAAAAATCAAAGCGCTTGTCCAGATCTCTAGGTCTATTTAGACGACCTATTTCACAAATTGAGGGCACGTCTGAGGAATCTCAAACACGACATAACAAACAATGTAAACTATGTGTCTAACAAATTGATTCGGAACACATTCAATTTTAGAACATCACATTACAAAAAAAAAATAACTAATGCATTTTTTAAAACTCTATTCAACCAGTTCAAAAATTGTATGTCAACGTTAGAGCCTTATTACTTTTAAAATTCATTGCGACCTTGACAAAGAAGTAGGTAATATGATATCGATAGGGTGTTCCATACCATACAAGTAGAGTACCCCTTATTAAATGAAAGGGGAAGCGTCGCCCCAAATATTCAATGTCAAAGGACCAGCTTTAGTCAGAGACAATAGAACGCATAATAATATTTCCGTCTGGCAACTGTGGGAAAAATGCAATAAATTAAAGAAAAGTGAGACATGTGGATACATAGTCAAATAACTTTAATTGATTTTAATTTCTACTGTTTAGTGATAAAGTTGAAAATATTAATCTCTCAATCAGAAATATCACAGTGGTGCCATTTTTCGTATTTATTTTGCAGGTATTTGTCGAAAGTGAAATTGTACAGTCAAAAACAACGGTCCCAAAAGACAAAGAAAATGAACCTTATTAATTTGCAATTAAGCTTACTTATTGAATTCGATAGTTAAGGAT